TTGTGGTCCACATTTTTCTCCCAGTGTATTCAGGATCTCCTATTGTGATCTCTTTCAGAATGATCAGCAATGGGGACCGGGCACCAATCCTGGTCTCAGGGTCATTTGGTCCATTAGTCCTTTTAATGAGTTATTCATTGCATTTTGAACTTTCTTCACTCTTCTTTGCTCTGGGTCATTGTATCTCTTTTAAGATCACCCTGTTTCTCTTTTCATCATCGCCCTCACGTGTCTGTCACTCTAATTTGAACCACAGGGGGGCGGGCCGTTCAAACTCACCAGTCACTGCTTGGAAACCCTATACTGGGTGGCTATGAGTAAGAACCGACTAGATGGCACTAAACAACAACTAGACAGTGTTGCGCCTAGTAGATTCTCAATATACTTATTTTTGAGCTTTGTCCTCAGATTATTCCTCTTCCCCTACATCTAGCTCCCACCAGGTGTGGCGTCATAGGATAAGAACGCGACCTCAAGGTCGCTTTGAACGTTAAGGTGCTCCTCGGAAACCCTACAGGGTCGCTGTGAGTTGGAACCCGCTTGACCCGTTCCCTTAGTTCTGGCTTCCTCACAAGCTCCAATCATGGTCTCAAACACCTCTCACGCCTTTTCCCGCCTTTTCCCCCCAAGGTTCCAAAGCTCGAGGACTCATTCATTGTCTTCCTCCCGAATCCTTCAACCAACCAGCCCACCACACAGCCTTGTTACCATGACGACTACAGAGCTACTCAAAGCTGAAGTCAAGGACCTGGTTGCCATGGCTCCCGCTTCTCCGCCTCCAGCCCCGCCCCCGCGCCCCACGGCGCTGGCGCCTGCGCAGTACGAAAGGCAGAGGCCTCCCAGCCTGGGCGGGACGAGGCGGGGTTTCAACCCGAGAGGGAGGGAAAGAAAAGAAGGCGAAGAGAACTGGCGCCTACGGTGGCCGAAGAGGGACGCAACGAGCCGGAGGCTGCAGGATGGTAGGATGTGCGAAGAGGGAGGGGAGGGGGAAACTGAGGGGCGTGGGCTGCACCTGCGGGGGTCCTTGGGGGCCGCTCGGGGTCTGAGCCGCCTTCGCTTCCCTGGCGTCCTCCGAGGCCCTCACTCCTTCGGGCGGGTGGGCGAGCGGCCTGGGGAGCTATTGCTGGGCATGGCTTTCGCGAGAAGGGGCGGGGAGCAGGCGCGTTTGCGGGGCCTTAGGGGCTGACGAGCGGACGGCTGCACTGGCGGGACTGGCCCGAGTCGGGAGAAGATCGGGTCTGGATCCGAGGGGTCCCGACTCTGCCGCCAGGAAGTCGACCGCAGTCTAGATAGGGGCGCAGGCGTGCTCGTGGAGGGAGCGAGCCAGTGATTGGGGTCGGGGGGCCGCTGGCCATCGAGACTTCCTGGTCCCGAGTAGCCCCAGACAGGGGTCCTCGTCAGCGGGAGAGAACCGAACGGGTGTGGGAGGCAGTTTCCGGGTCCGAGGAGGCCCCGTCCTACCGCCAGGTGTCGTGGGGCTCCCCTGCCGCCTGAGTGAGACAGGCAATACCAGTGGGCTTGAGGTTTGCTCTAAGGGACCCAGGTTTTGGGGTCCCCGCCTCTGGTGCTTTGCGTTCCGCTTCCCATTCTCTTTCCGGAACCCAGGCCTTCCTTCTTCCTGCTCGGCCATCCCAGCGCCGTTTGGCTCCCGGGCGCCCCTCTTTCCCCTCCTGCCACCCTATCAGCACTTCCACCGAAAAGCCTGGTTCTTTCCTGACCTTGAATTCCGGGTTACCGTGCCATATAGCAAGGAAGCCTTGGAGTGGGAAAGATGGGGCGATCTACTTCTGAAGATTTCTAGTCTTGGAAACCCTATGGGGAAGTTCGTGCTTTTCCAGAAGGGTCGCTGGGAGTCGGAATTGACTCCCGCACGGCAGTGGGTGTATGGTTTGGTGCCTTACACTCAGGAATTCCAGACTTGGTCGTGTTCGCCGACCAAGAGGAGAGGAGAGCTGCTGGGAGAAGGAGATGACTCCAGAAGGTGGCCGGAGGTGGCGGCGCACCCCGGAACTGGGAAGTTGGAGATGCAAGGGTAGCGAACCCACTCTTCCCAGCTTGCTCCGAGCTGCACAGACATGTGGCTGTGTCCTAACTGAAAGACCCAGAAAGAGAGAGAGTCACCTGGCGCCTTCAAATAAAGCGCTGCTAAGTAAGAAACCAGGCCACCTGTCTCCTAAGTGTGGAGAGAAGAGGGTGGAATTTAGGGATCCCAATATCACGTGCTAGGTAGGGCAGGGTGTTTGGGACATCGGAAAGGACTCCTGGTGAGGATGAAGTGCAAAGTCCAGCTAGCCTCTTCAGGGACAAAATACCCAATTTCACAGTGCTGATGGACAGAGAGAGGCTTCTTGTCCTTTGCTATGCATTTCACTTACCCAAGGCACTGTTGGGTAAACATTAGACTGCTAACCACAAGGTCTGCAGGTCAAGCCCACCAGCTGCTCTGAGGAAGAAATAAGAGGTATTCTGATCCATAAATATTTGCAGCTTTGGATCTACTCAATGGTTTGGGGCTTGGAAAACATGGTTAGGAAGCAGCAGATAAGAGTATTATTTAGAGTATTTAGCACGCTGCTAAAGTGCTTGTCATGCACTGTTGCATATAATTCACTTAATCCCTCTTAACAACTTTGTAGGACTCCTGGTCTGGCGCTGTAGGATAAACATTGGTCAGTAGTTCCAACCCACCAGCAGCTCCTTGGAAGCCCTATACAGGGTCGCTAAGAGTTGGAACTGACTCAAAAGCAAAACAACAACTTTGTAAGGGAACACTGGTGGCGCTGTAGGTTAACCACAAGGTTGGCAGTTCAAACCTACCAACTGCTCTGCCGGAGAAACATGAAGCTTTTTGCTCTCATAAAGATTTGTTGTTGTTGTTGTTAGGTGCTGTGAGTCAGTTCAGACTCATACCGACCGAGGAGTGGCTGATGAGTTTGTACTACCGACCTTGCGGTCCAGTACATTAGCCTACCAGCACCCGGGAAATCCTGTACAGGGCCACTATGGTCAGAACCAATTTGACAGCCCTTAACAACTCTGTGAGGTAGACACTTCATGATCTCCATCTTACAGATAAAGAAATAGAGGCCCAGACACTAAGTCATTTGCCCAAGGCCATACCTAAATACTAGCGTCAGGACTTGAACCCAAATGACAAACAAAGTCTGACTTCTCTCAGAGGGATAAGTACCTTCGTTCTGGTGGGAATTCCCAATAATGATATTCTGTGAGTGGACACGAATTAGATGGGGTGAATTTGAGACTGTGTATTTGTAGATGAAAGACGCTCAGAGAACCAAATCTCTGACCCTCAGCTCTGTTCCCCCACCCCCAGATGCGATTTATGCTGCTGTTCAGCCGGCAGGGGAAACTGCGGCTGCAGAAGTGGTACCTGGCCACGTCGGACAAGGAGCGGAAGAAGATGGTTCGGGAACTCATGCAGGTTGTTCTAGCTCGCAAGCCCAAGATGTGCAGCTTCCTGGAGTGGAGGGACCTGAAAGTCGTCTATAAGAGGTGACACCTTACCTACTATCAGAGCTGCCTGGATTCTGCTTGATTAGAATTTGGCAATAGGTTAAAGAAACGAGATGCTAGAAGTAAGGAGCTCCTGAGGTCACGGAAAGCTGGGAGCTGAGGCCATCTGAAAGTCAATGATTAACTCCTTTCCCTGACTGCCAAACTCCCCTTGAAGAATCTCTTGTTCCGCACTTGGTTGGCTTCAGCCATCCATCCGCCTCATGCGCATGTCTCTGCCAGCAGAGGCCCCATCTGGCCTATTGTGCATCCCCCCTGCATTCTTATTTTCCCAACACACACAGCCTTTCTGTTTCCTTATCTAAGTAGATGAGTTCCTTGGCTCATATTTTGCTGACTCAAACTGAACAGGTCAGAGGGCAAGAAGGAAAAGGCACATATCTTGATCAGTGTGTGTAAGAGAGCAATAGGAGGCAGAGGAGTTGGGAATGAGGAGAAACAGGCAATTTCTCAGGTGGCTTGGGCCTTGAAGCAACCCTTCCAGTTATGCCTTGTGTACCCCTCTCCCCAGATACGCCAGCCTCTACTTCTGCTGTGCCATCGAGGGCCAGGACAATGAGCTCATCACCCTGGAGCTAATCCACCGATATGTGGAACTCTTGGACAAGTACTTTGGCAGTGTAAGTCTCCTCACTCACTCCAGTTTCCTTATCCAACAATCCCCACTTCTTCCAACTCCGGGGCCTTTCTTGCCTGGAACACGGGAAAGGTGAAGTTGGAAAAGTGAGCCCAATAATTAATCTCCCTCTTTAAGCCTTAAGCCTATTAGCAATGACCGTTAATCAGCCCTGGCAGGGGGTTTGGGCCAGAATCTGTCACTATTAATCTCCACATATAGCTCAGCTCCGACATCTCACACTCGGACAGAGGCTATGTTTAAATTCGTTCAGGACTTCATGACCCTGGCTACATCCTGGAATCTTTTAGGAGAGCTCTTAGAAAATATTGATGCCTGGGCCCCACCCAAAGTTTCTGAATGAACGGATCTCGTTAACAGATTCTAGAATAAGTACCATAGTGGTTATGAATGGGCCTGCTAGCCTCATGGTCAGCAGTTTGAAACTACCAGCCATTCCTCGGGAGAAAGATGAGGCTTTCTGCTCCGGTAAAGATTTACAGCCTCGGAAAGCCTGTACAGGGTTGCTGTGAGTCAGAACCGACTCCACGGCACATAACCACCATAACTACCACAGGGTATGTACTTTAGACATGCGGTCAGGAGAGACCAGTCCGTATGGAAAGACATCAGGGTTAGCGACCATCAACGAGCTGGATGGGCACAGTGGCTGCACCAATGGGCTCCGACGTAGTAACAATTTTGAGGATGGTGGAGAGCAGACAGCATTTCATCTTCTTATACATAGAGTCACTATGAGCCAGAACCTAACAGCATCGGTAGATGACTCAAATCATCCATGGAGAGTAGTGGTGTGGCAATGGTGCTGGTGGTGGTTACGTGCCGTGGAGTCGGTTCTGACTCAGCGAGTCTGTACAAGGTTTCCGAGGCTGGAAATCTTTATGGGAGCAGAAAGCCACATCTTTCTCCCGTGGAACAGCTGGTAGTTTCGAACCGCTGACCCTGAGGTTCGCAGCCCTAGCCCCATTCGTAACCACTACGCTACCTGAGCTCGTTTTGGAGAGTTGTAGTAAATCCATAACAAGAGATTTGCATCCCACTTAACAATTTTCTAAGTGCATTCTTGTTGTTCTCCTGCTTGCTTTGCCCCGCTTCTGATAAGTAAGTGTTACCTTCATGTTTGGTGCAGAGATCTTAAACGACATGTACAGCCAGCTGGTTAGTGATATAACCCTGCTTGGAACTCAAGACTTCCACTCAATTGTCCAGAAGCCCAGCTTTCTCTCTTAGTGCAGCTACTGGGGGGAACAATGTTGCAGATTTGTTGCAGGGGAGGAGAATCGGAAGAAAGACAATAGGAATCCTAGACAAGGGTAGACTGGGGCAGCTGGCATTTCATGGTCATGGAAAAGAGGCACATGAAGGCGAAGAAAAAGTAGAACCAACTACTAAGGGCTGAGGGTTGGGAAGCCTAGGACCTGGGGCAAGAACCCCAGGGAGGAAGCTAGGGCATGAGAAAAGAAGTAGAGGGGGCTGGGGTAGAGAGAGGTAGGAGTGGGAACACACCTCAACTTTGCCCTTCCTCCCTCTTCCCCAGGTGTGTGAGCTAGACATCATCTTCAACTTCGAGAAGGCCTACTTCATCTTGGATGAGTTTCTGATGGGTGGTGATGTCCAGGACACCTCCAAGAAGAGTGTCCTGAAGGCTATTGAGCAGGCCGACCTGCTGCAGGAGGTAGGGACCGGGGCCCATGAAGAAGTGGGGAAGCACCGTGCAGGTGGTGGACAGTGCCCTCCCTCCCTGTGGCACCTGCCCCCACCCAGCTGGCCAGATTTCCCTCAAGTCCTGACAATATGGGATGGGGGTAGGGGTGGCAGACAGCCTGCTTGCGCCCGTTCTCCCGTGAGTCTAGGCTCCTTCCCCGCAAGACTCTTGTCCCAACCAAATCATTTTGGTTCCACACCTCTTTTGGTGTCAAAGGTTGCTCAGAACATTGGCGAAGGTTTCTTACACGCACACGCATGCACACACACACACACACACACACACACACTTATAAGGCTGTGGGGATTTGAGGCTGGGTAGAGGATGCCCAGCTCTTCTGGTTCTCCCTGCCATCTGCCGCCCACCTCACCCTCACCCCATTACTGCCTGCCCCCTCTCTGCTGTACCACTGCTGAGACTTGGTGCAGGGAGATGAGTCACCGGAATCTGCAGTGAAGAGCAAGCCAGCCTGAGCCGGCTCTGAGGAGGGGGAGAGCTGGGGGGGCTCCTCTCTGCAGGAGGAGAGACAGAGCTGAACTTGGTTCCCCACTGGTCCAGCTTCCTGTCTCTGACTGTCTCCTGTCTCTCCCGTTGTCTCTCTCTCTCACACACACACGCACACATGTGTACACACACATGTGTCTTGGCACACGTGCCCACCCCTCTTACTAGTGCTTGTATTAGATCCTAATGACTCAGGCCTCTGTGGCCAGGTTCACCTTTCCTTGGCAACCTGAAGCCCACCCTTAACCCTGGTCCCCACTCTGAAAGGGAGAACTCAACCATCTGCCACCCCCATTTGCAGTTTCACATGCTCTACCCCCCAGACTCCTGCTCCCTCAGGGAAGGAGGCTAGCCCCTGTCACTAAACTCCGGCTCAGTGCTCTGGGGAGTGATGGACTGATCCCAGGCCCCCTGGCCCTGCCACACGCTTGGCTCTGGAAGGTCTTCCTGGGAGGCTGGTAAACTCCCTGGGAGGAATCCTCTCTCCCCGCTGCTGCGCGCGCATGTGTGTGTGTGTGTCTGTGTCTGTGTGTGTTTCAGCTTCCCTGCTCTGGCGCCTTCCTCATGGTGGCTTGCTGATGTCTTGCCTACTCCCTCACTCCCCCCTCCCCACTCCTGGTATCTTCGTGTCACCCTCTGCCTCTCCCTTAGGAGGACGAGTCCCCACGCAGTGTGCTGGAGGAGATGGGTCTGGCCTAGCGTCCGCCTGGGATCTGGGGCTGCTGGAGAGACAGGACTAGAGCTGCTGGTGTTTGTCGTCTCTCTGGGCCCGTTTCTCCGGGGGGGGCTGGCTGCCCCTCCTCTGCTGCCTCACCTCACAAGTGAGCTGTAGGCTCAGGACCCTCAACATGCCCCCTTCCCTTTCACCCCCACCTCCTGTTTTCCGTTTCCCCTGAGGCTGAAGGAGCTAGGAGGTAGGAAAGTGTCATTGTGACTTTGTGATGAGGATGCTGTTTGGATCTTATATCCTGCCTTTGATGAACGAATATTATCTCAGACTTTTTCCCTCCCTTCCAACTGTAAATATATAAATATGTCAGGTTGTAGGGAAACAGTTTTCAGGGCTCTTCTCCTTCCTTACCCCCTCTAACCTACCTCTACCCACTTCCAGCAGCCAGTGCAACCTCTCTGCCTGGGGGAGGAAGGCCTTGCCCTCACCTGCCCCCTCTCTCTGGCTGCAATGGGGCCTGTGTCCTGTGTCTGGGAAGGAACAGCAGAGTTCAGTTTTTGCTAGCCTTGCCACCTTGAGGGAAGGGAGGGCTGGGGGAGAGCAGAGCTCTGTAGGAGACCAGACCCTGTCCCTTCCTCCCACCTTGCACTGGGTAGAGGCAGGAGCTAAGGGGTTGGGGGGGCGGGGCGTGCTGGGGGAAGTGTCTGACTTTATTTTGTCCTTTCTTCTGAAATAAAAGGAAAAGCCTTTCTGGACTCTGCCTTCCTTGGACTCTGTGGAGGAAGGCAGAGCTTCTGGGATCAGTCCGAGGCCAACATTGTTTATTTGTTCACCTCTTCCCCCATAAGGATTGCCAAGTCTCAGTTCCTTTAAAACCAATTAAACAAAGAGACACTTAGTGAAATATGAATTTCAGGTGAACAATGAATGAGTGCTCTCCTTAGGATACGTGTCTCTCTTGCAACGTCTTCTACAAAAACCTGGGTGGTAGAGGATGTGTGCTGTGGAGTCGGTTCTGACTCAGAGCGACCTTACATAGGGTTTCCAAGGCTGTAACTCTCCATGGGAGCAGAAAGCCTTATCTTGAACCAGTGGAACAGCTGGTAGTTTCAAACTGTTGACCTTGACATTAAGAGCCCAACTCGTAACCACTACACTACCAGAGCTCCTTATTTATTATCTGAAATTTATACTGAACTGGGCTAACAAATGTCCTGTATTTGGGAGGAAGCAGGCCTTCCACAGACAGAGTTGTGTACTCACTGCCTCTCTAGCTCCCTGGGCTGCAGTTGCTCCCAAAGGGGGGGTCATGCTTCCTTGTGGAGAGTTTCATTCACCTCAGTTCTGCTACGGGGTGGGGAATCTGTAGTTCAAGGACATAGTCCAACCCACTATTCTAAGAAAAGGAGCTCTAGTAGCTCTGGTTATGAGTCGGGCTGCCAACTGCAAGATCAGCAGTTCGAAACTACCAGCAGTTCCACGGGAGAAAGATGAGGCTTTCTGCTCCCATAAAGATTTACAGCCTCAGAAACCCTGTACAGGGTCGCTATGAGTCGGAACCGACTCCATGGTACTTAACAACAACAACATTCTAAGAAAGGAGTCCTGGTGTGGCGCTGTGGGCTAATGCGTCAGACTGCAAAGTCGTTTGAACTGCAAGGTTGGTGGTTCAAGCTCACCAGCTGCTCCTTGGAAACCCTATCTATACAGGGTCGCTATGGGTCAGAATCAACTCAACAGCACTTAACAACAACAACATTCTAAGAAAGTAGCCCTGGCGTGGCGCTGTGGCCTAATGTGCTGGACCGTAAAGTTGGTTTGAAATGCAAGGTCGGCGGTTCAAGCTCACCAACTGCTTGGAGACCCTTTACAGGGTCGCTATGGGTCAGAACCAATTTGGTGGCACTTAACAACAACATGCTAAGAAAAAAGGTTTTTAAAAAGGCTAAAACCAGTGTGTTTGGGCTGCCAGCTGCTCCTTTCCAAACCAAAAACCAAATCCGCTGCTCCATCCCGACTCAGAAGGACCTTCCATAAGGTTTCCACAGCTTTAAATCTTGACAGGAGCAGAAAGCCGCATCACAGTGACTCTGACTTACAAGGAGCCTGTATAGGGTTTCCAAGGAGCAGAAAGCCATCTCCCAGAGCGCCTGGTAGGTTTCAACTGCTAACCCTGTGGTCAGCTCAGTCTGCCTCCTACAGCCACCATGAAGACTCCTTGTCAAGTATATGTTGTTCCATGGAGTGGGTTCTGACTCATAGCCACCCTGTAGAGGGTTTCTGAGGAGCAGCTGGTGGGTTTGAACTGTCAACCTGTGGTTCTCAGTCCACCAGGACCAAGGAGTTTAGGGATTAGTGAAGGGAGAGGGTAGGTGAGATGGGACAGGGGCTGTGGAGACAGCTATCCAGACCTGCCCAAGTGACTCAGGTGTCTCAGAATGCCCTACTCCAACCCCTATCCCCACCCCCATGGTTCTGCTAAGCCCTGGGAAAAGACGTCTTTTTAAACTACCCCTTCCCTTAGCTGGAAGTGCAGTTTAGGGTTTTTGAATGGATGTGAGCTGTTTGCTACCCCTAAATACCCAAGAAGTGATTCCACCCCTTAAGTCTGCTTTGGTTGAGATGGGGAGGAGGCGGCAGATAGTGTCCTGACTTTTGCCCCCATCACCTCCCCCCCTTGTGAAGGACCAAGCCGGCCCAAGGGGACGGGTGAAAAATGGAAAACAAAGTCCTAATAAAATAGTCACTTTTATTTCTTAGCAAAACTATTTCCTCCGTGAGGGGTATTTACAACAGAGAAGGGAAAGAAGGGATCAATTCACAGCAATCTGGAGGCGGGGGAGGTCCACAGGAAGCCTAAAGGGACAGACACACGTCTTCACACTGCTTTTCCCGGTGTTGACGGGGACGTCCCGACTGGTGGGAGAGGGGATTCGCAAAAACCACCTCGCCCGCCCGCCTGGGCTGGCCCCAGGTCACCCGCTAGTTAAGTTTGGGAGTTTGGGCTTCGGATCCAGGAAGAGGTAAGACAGTAAGACAGGTCTTGGCACAGCCCTGGGGCGGGCCCGCGGGCGAAGGAGGGAGGGCGGGGCCGGGGCGCATGCAAACATCGAGAGGGGAGAGGGGGAGACACGGAGGGGCAGTAGCGGCACGCGGGCCTGGCCAGGTCACGGGCGCCGGAGCAGCACGTGCTCAATGTAATTCTCCAGCTCTTCCTGCTCCTGCAGCTGGCGCTCCTCCGCCTCCGCCGCCTCCTGCGCGCGCCGAGCCTGGGCCTCTGCCTCCCGGCCCAGAGAGTGGCGCGGAGGCGGCAGGGCGTGATGGTAGTGGCGGCGTCGCGAGGAGGCTGGTGGTTGCAGTGTCCGCGGCCGGATGTAGTTGGGAAAAGGATGGTAGGGGCCCGGGAAATACACTTCGTCCTCCCGATCCCATGGTGGGAGCACCTCGTTCCACTCGGGCAGCTCGTCATGAGCAGGGGCAGGGGGCGGGGGCTGTGGGGAACGGACATGAGTGGGGGCCGGCGCGTCACGGGGGGGCGGCACCGGCTCAGGGGGGGCGTTCTTCTTCCGCTTCCGCTTCTCCTCCACCTCCTCTATGATGCTGACCACATCGTCGGCTGGCAAGTGCAGTTTGGTGGACAGCTCTATGAGGCTATCGATGGTCTGTGGGTCCATCTCCTCATCGTCGTCCTCCTCCTCCCCGCCCTCCTCTGCCCCCTCAGCCTCCTTCCGCCGGTGGCCCGGCGTCTCCTCCTGGGAGCGCTTGTCCTCCGCTCCGGCTTCCCCGTCCTCCTCCTCAGCGAACAGAAGCGCATTCTGCCGCGCCCTCTCCGCCTCCTCCGCCTCTGCCTCCGCCTCCGCCGCCTCCTCATCCTCTACCTCCTCCCTGTCCTCCCCGCCGCGCCTCTCCTGCTCCGCTTCCTCCTCCGCCCTCTGACTCGCTCGCTCCTCCTCCTCCTGCAGCCCCCGACCCCCGAGGCCGTGCTGCCGAGCCCCGCCCTGCAGCAAATACTGGAGCAGCAGGTCGGAGGCTAGGTCGGCCAGCCGCTCCTCCTGTGCCGCCGCCTGCCGCGTGGCCTCCGCCTGCCGTCGCCCGGCCTCCACCTGCGCTAGTCCTTGCTGTAAAAGGCGGTCCCCCGCCTCGGAGCCGCCCAGCAGTGAGCTCTCCGGCCGGTGCGCCTTAGGGAAGGATGCTCCCAGGCCTTGGTACGCCTTGGACAGGGGTGCCAGTGCCTCGCCCAGGTGTGTTTTAGGGGAAGGCACTCCTTCCCCGAACCGGTGGGCTTGGGACAGGGACCCACTCTCGGGCATATGCGCCTGAAATTGTGGAGCGCCCGGGGGCGACAGGGGCGCGCGCTCGGGGACGCGCGCCTGGAACTCTCCCCAGGAAGCGCGCCACACGCGCTCAGGCCCGGGGCTTTCCAGGTTGACGCGGGTCAGCGTGTGCGTGCGGGTTTCCGTCTCGGCAGCCGCCGTTTCTTGCTGGCGCTTAGTGTTGCTCGGACTGAAATCTCGCAGTTCCTGGAGAAGGGACGCTAAAGCCTCGAGCTCCTCCGTAGGATAGCCCTCCTCGGGACCACTCTCCTCCTGAGTCTGGGGGCGAGGCGGGACCGGGGGCGCTTGAGTTTCTGGAACCGGGAGGCTGTGGGTCTGGCTGCGCACGGTTTCGGTCAGCAGAGATTCTGCTGCTTCTTCTGCTGGTCCCTGCTGGGAGCCGCCTGGCGCTGGGGGCGAGGCTGGACGGTCGAGTACCTGCAGCAGTACCGCGGCCAGCGCCCGGGGATCCACGCCCTGGAAAAGCTCTCCTTCGTCCTGCGTCTCGGAGTTCCGAGCCGCTCGGACCTCTGGGGTGTTGCCATCCTTTGACCCGGGCACTGTGCCCCCAGCTACCGACTCTTTATGGTCTGAGCTGAAAGGAGGTAACTGCGCCTCAGGGCGTCCCGGGGGTGCTGCTCCCAGCCCCCTGATCAATAGAAGGAAGCAAAAGAGGGCAGCAGCTGGGAGCTGGGGAGATTTCATGACAAGGGGGCTTCCAGAGACTGTGAAAAGAGAAAAGGTCAAAAAAGAAAAGCTTTCTGTAGGAATTCCCTGCTCTCTGATTCTATATTCCCTTCCCCCACATTTAAGCAGGAAATCCAGGGTTTCCCTGATTCCCCCAACCTTACCCAGAGGAGGGACGTTTAGGAGCTTGTGCAGGTCTCCTGAATCGTGTAAATTGGAAAGGGACGCCCGCAACCCTTGCTCTCCTAATTCTTACTCGCCCCCTTCCCTGAGCCGTCACACTGCCAGCGCCCACGTACTTAGCAGCAAGGAAAGAGGGAAAAATCTCTGCTCCCGCCCTGTAGGACTCCCCGAAGATGCGTGGGCGACTCCAGCAAGCTAAGAACTCCCCCATTTACCAGGAGTCCTTACCAGGGGCTCCCCGCTGTGTTTTCAATACCCCCATCCTGGAGGAAAGAGAACCCTCCCTCACGCCCACGCTGCTGAGGGTTTGAGAAACGGACAGTGGAGTATTTACCAGCTGGTGTCACGACGCGGGAGATGGAAAGGAGGTTCGGGGTGGGGTAGGGACAGGGGAAGACCGGGACGCGTCCGCCTTCCCCTGGCTCCGAACGGTGGGTGGATGGGATACGAGCGACGGTCGAAGTCTGACGTCCAGCGGGCTGGGCTCAGCTGGGTCCGCGCGGCTCTCTGGCTCCGACTTCAGCACGCTGGACAGCGCCCGCGCCGCCTCAGCCTTATAAAGGGGAGCGCGCCCAGTCACGTGGGTGCGCCCCGCCCCACTGACGTCAATGTTCATTCATGGGGTAGCGGGCGGGCACCCAGCGATTGGAGGGTGCGCTCCTCTCCGGCTCGCGCCTGCGTGTTGAGGCTCTCGACTGGAGGGGCGTGCGCTAGGCGAGCGCAGGGAAATGAATGAATGAATGAATGAATGAAATGCCGAGGCGGGCGGGGCAGGGGGCTATGAATGAATGAAGGAGGGACGAGGAGAAAAGGATGAATGAATGAATGGGAGAGTGAATGGAAGGGTGGCTGCAGAGGCCCCGGAAGGCGGGAAGGGTGGGTTACCGAGCGACTTGCAGCCGCTAGAGCCAGCACAGCTGAGCGGAATATGAAGGAGACCTTCCCAGCATTTAACTGGACAACAGACGGAGATTCTCACTGGGGAGGGAGAAGATAAGGGCTCGAAAGCCGGGATGGGGACCCGGCTACCTAGCTCCCAACTGCGCGCGGTCGGTCCTTGGGGAACATGCCCAAGGACAGCGTGAACCCGAGGAGGAATGGATCTGTGCGCCTACAGGCGCTGTCCTCGGATCTGCGGTGCAGGGTGCTGGCCTAGGGCTGGGTCAGATGGGTGGATCCGGCTGTGGTAATCCCCACCGGGAAGGGTCTAGAGAGGAAGGGGAAAGACTGAGGATATATGTGCCTTTGGGTCGTGCCTGTTCTCAGCAGGTGCGTGCCTGAAGAAAAAGGTGTGTCCGTCCGACTGACTGCAGCGTATGTTAGTGCCCCCGCTGTGCCCCTTTTCAGCCCACCTCTGTCCACCCTCCTACTTCTTTCCTTTCCGCAGCTCTCCCCCCCCAAGGACATTTGGAGGGCGAGAACATATCAGGTGGGGAGGGGGTTGCGCAGGTGGGGGGGGTGAGTCAACTTCAGCTTTCCCATGCTTAAAGAAAAGATTTGAAGGAGGGGCTACAACGTCAGAGAACGTCCTTCTCTGCCCCCAGACCCTTCGTCCGTATCTCCTGTCAGAGGGGTTGGGGCTGGGGGCTTGGGCAACTAGAGATTCCGGGGGAGGGGTGGGGGCGATGACGCACAGATTGCGCAAAGAGAATCTATCTGCGAGTCGGGTCCGGTGAAGGGAGACCAGCCGTGGGCGGGAGTGGGGGGTGAGGGGGAGGCGGGAATGGTAGGGGGGACGGAAATGGGGAGGGGGCAGAGGTAAGCAAGGGGAGCGTACACTGCAGGAATGAAGGGGAGGGAAGGAGGCTGGAGGGGGCTGCAGTGCAGTCAAAAAGGTGCAGGGGCGTGAACAGGGAAAGGAAGACGTGATAATGACACACGAGACACACAAAGATTGCAGACACAGGCTGCTTGTGGCACACACAGGGCACTCAGGAAACCAAGACCTGAGGTGAAGGTGTCTGTCCGGGGCCCAGGGACACTTTGGAATGAGTCTCTTTCCCCACTTCGTCATCTCTTCCTGCCCATCTCCCCTCCACTTCCCTCCTCTCCACACACACACACACACACACACACACACACACACACACACACACACTCACTCACTCATGTATTCTCTCTCTCACTCTCTCTCTCTCTCTCTTTCTCTCTCTCTCTCTCTCTCTCTCTCTCTCTCTCACGTGCTTTCCCTCTATAACCAGCAGTGGCTTTTCGCTCCCATCAGTGGTTTGACTTTCCCAGAAAGCCCATCAGCTCTGCAGGGAAAGAGATGGGGAAGAGAGAGAGGAGAGAAAGATGGGGGAAGGGGAGGGGAAGAAAAAAAGGAATCTGAAACAGGTAAAGGGAATGAGCTAAAGGAGAAAAAGTCTGAGAACCAAGATGACTGTAGAGATGTCAGAGAAAGGAGGGAGAGGAGGGGGCAGGAGACCCTGCCGCAGTGCCTCACCCCCACAACATGCCCCCCCTTTCTCCCAGCCAGCTCTCCTCTTTCTCTCCCTCCCCATCTCCTTTACCTTCCCAGCCTGGTGACTGAGAGCCTGGTGGAATGGGGAGGGGGTCACGTTACCTTCCTGAGGAGGATGAATCAGAGGGAGATGGCTCAGACATCTGGAGAGGGGGAGGGGAAGCCATCAGAGAAATGGAAGCTGAGAGGGAGTCAGGAGGGCAGACTGAAAGGCTGATTGGGCAGAGACAGAGACCGAAGAAGAAGAGATGACAAGAGGCATCTAGAGAAACTGTATGCCTGTACGCCTGTGTGGGTATGCGTGCACCTGAGTGTGCATACACATGCGGGTGCATGTGTGGTTGTGTGTGTACAGTACAGAGATGAGAAGATACAGAGGAAAGAGAAAGGACATGGGGGGGGAAGCGGGGAGGGCAGTTGTGTATTTAATCAGGTACATCAGTAGTGGATGGGATGGTAATGTTTCCAAATGAAATATACAATCCTTTCCTCCAATCTGTGTAGCTGTATTTTTGCCTATTTGCAGATGTCTGGTTCTAACTGTGAGTATGTGTGTGTTCTTACCCATTCTGAGTGCCTGTATATCATGTGGTTGGGAGTTTTTGCACCCAATTCTTGGCATCTGCTGGTGCGTCTGAAAAGGATGCCTGACTTGTTGCGTGCTCGGTGTATGTGAGTATGGATGTGTGTAGATGTCTGTGTTTTTCCTTTGATGTGCCTTTCCAGTCTGCCTATGTAAAGTGGTTATTTGTACTTCCATGTGTCTTTGATCTTTTCTGCCCCCACCCTTTACCTCTATCTCTAGATCTTTGTGCAATAGAGCCTCAATACTCAAGCCCCTCAGACCCCTCATGTTCTGAGTCCTCCCTGCTTGTTTCCAGAGAGCTCTCCCATTCTTCCCCATCCTTTTCCTCCCTCCACCCAAGTCTAAAGGCCCAGAGAAACTCTCAGAAATAGATATCCCAAGAAGAATGAAGTAATAGAAAACTCAATGAAAAGAAGAGGGGATCCAGGTAAAAGTATGGGACACCAAGCAATAGGCTTGGTGATTCTACAATCTGGATCCTGCCCCATCATGCCTGCAAGGTGTTTGCATCTCTGGATCTGCTTCTGTCTCCATCAGTTTCTTACCTGGATCAGCTCATTCACCCACCCCCATCTCCCTGGGATTCACTGTGCCCTTCATATCATGCTGCCTCTAGGTGCTTCTGGAATAGAGCTGGACTGGGGGCACACTCCTAGAATTGGGGAAAGGAGGGAGACAGCAGAAAGGAAAGAGAAACACAGAGAGAAATCTAGAAAAAAACAGAGCTAAGATGGGGCCTAGAGGGGACGCCTGGTGCTTGCTCTGAGTTCTGTTGCTTGAATCCATCTCTTTCTTTGTTTCTGAATCGCCCATCTCTCCAAGAGGGTAGCAGGAGACGTCGTTTCCTGGCAGAGTAATAAACTAAGCTAATTTGGAAAAACCTGGGAAGGGGAGCACAGCGCTGGGTCTTTTCTCTAAGAAGGGTTGGGAAAAAGAGGCAAGGGGCTTGGGGCCCCTCCAGCAGCTCAGCATCCCCCCACTTCCTCCCCCCCACTGGTGACTCACCTCTGCAGCCTTTCATTGCGTCAGCGCTAGGGGGGGAAAGGCAGGGAGGGGCACTTTATTAGAGGGGTAGGGGTCTCCACTTTGAACTAAAAGAAGATGCTAAAGCACCCCCTTGAAAATGCATTCTTGCCCTATCCCCTTTGTCCACCCCAGTTTGTAGGATGGAGAGTTCTGGGAAGGAGACTGGGGAGTGGGCTGGGGGTAGCTGCTGGGTTCTGGAAACCAAGAAGGGTGTCTGGAAAGGGAGCTCACCCTGGTCTTCAATCGTTATGTTCCAGTATCGCAGACCCCCACCCATTCTGAATGGGGGAGGGGAGACCCAGCAAGCCGGGGGAGGGCAAAACCGCAAAGATGAGTCACCGGAAAACAGACAGAGATGGGGAGAGACACCAAGAGAGACAACTACTGGAGAGACTGGGGAAAGAAAATAAACTCACACATCACGAAGGTGGTGTCCACAAACTCACCAGAGCAAGGAAATGGTGTGCTAAACCAGTCCCTCCATCACCAACCTGGCAAACACATACACACTACCACCGTACAGTTACACTAAGATTCTGAGACACACCCACTCACACAAACACAATGTCACACCTAGCCGGACAGAGTCATCCAGACCTATTCTGAGGATGTGACCAGGGGAATGGAGAGTCACATGGAGAGTCCTCATTTCTTTTACCGGGTGGCAGGACGGGAATCCAAACCCTCAAGGAATGCGACTTAAAAACCTTCATTCGCGATTTCTAGGAGTCAGGCTGCGCTGTGCACACGCGGCGACACATACAAGTCGCCTGCCTCTCTCCCCATCCACACATACATAGTACCTTATCAAGCATCGTCCTCATAAATACAAACAAAAATAAGTGGGATCCCTGCTTTGGGGGTACACCACACATTGTTTCAAGTATCTCCCACCCTGACACCCTCTGCCTCGTACGCACATGGACAGAAACGCAGACACACAAAGACGCCCATGGACACAGTCACACACGGATGGAAACCACCTTGCGCTGCCTTGCTCCCGTCAGCACAGGTCCTGGCGCCCCCGCGTGTTACTTTTAGGAAGTGCAGTCTCTGCGGCTCGCAATCTCCGCTCCCGGGGGCGGAGCCCAGGTCCCTGCCACCCTTTTTTCGACTCCCGCCCCCACCCCCACCTCCACCACCACGCGGTGCCCATCCCGGAGTGGGGAAGGCGAGTGCTGGCCAAAGAGCTAGTCCAGAGCTAGGATTAGACGTTTGGATCCCGGGACTGTGGAAGGCTGGTTCTGGAAGCAAAGTGAAACTTGGAAAGGTGACGAAGAACCCACAAGATTTGGCAAACAGCAGACTCCCAGGTCCAGGGGAAAGCGAGGCCCAGGGCAAGGTGGGGAGATTCGGTTCAGAGCAGTGGCTTCTTCCGGCCGCTAAACTAGGGTGGGAGTAGGAGCGTACAACGACCAGCAGCTCTCCTTCGC